TGTGATCTCTGCAACATGGCTTAACAAAGGGCCGAAGGCTAGAAGGCTAATAATTTTATCCAATATGGAAATAAAACCCAATCCACTGAAAATCCTTTTTAAAAAGTTTTAAATTTGGGATTCTAGAATTCTTTTAATTCATGACTTAGGCAAGTAGTAAGGACTAATCAAATACTAGTTTGGAACTCATCAGCTTTCACACAATTTACTTGGCTATTTAGAAATAGTAATCTTTTAAATATCAATATCATGCTTTGTATTATAAAACTGTATGGTTAAAATTCGAAAACTGCTTTTCTACCAGAGGTATTGTCAAATTCAGTCCATCATCATGTGACTCTGATGAAACTTGGCACTGAAGTATATCGAGGCCAATGAAAGCTTTTTTTTTTTTTTTTTTTAAAGGAAAGAAATGTACCTGACTATTGCTTTAGAACTACATGGCTACTTATTCTGGTTTGTGGGGTATTGTTTTGTTTTGTAGCCTTTAAGGGGTGGGGACAGGAGAAGATTTCAAATGGAATTGGACAGCTCCAAGGCTGTAACCCCTGGCTTTGAGGCTACCTGAGTTACTTCGGGCTGTCCTTTCCAGAACCCTGTTGCAGTCTGAGAAGTCTCTGGAGCTGATCCCCACAGCTAATCACAAACCCAGAGCATCAAAGCAGTGGAGGCCAAGGCAGGCCCTCTGGGTTTTCCGGGGCACCACTCTAGGTTTCAAAGGTTTCCTTGTTCTGTGTTTCTTATCTAGCAGGGCCCACGGTATACACGGAACTGTAACAGGGCTTGACTTCTGCCATGGACAGAGCCCAGTGCCTTTCTGTTCACCTTACCTGTAGCTCCTCTTCTGCTGAGTTCTTGCAGCAACATCAATAAACATGGACTAAAATGCCCACTGAGTGCCGGGACTGAAGGCCCAGGTAGTGTGGTTCCTGCCTTCAAGGAAGGGATTGTCCAGAGGTGGTTACCGGACTCTGCAACCCCTGGCTCCCCAGAATTTTGAAGCAAGCACACGGTCTACACTAGAGCTTCCCTTCATCCCCAGCCCCCAGAAGTCCTTGTCCCTGGCTGTGTCTTGGCTTGCTTTCTCACCATAGAGTCCCACATTTTCACCTAGTAAATATCTTCGTTTATGGCATAAACTGCTTATGTTAACCCTAGCAGTGTTCATGCTAGATCTACTTTCATGCCATATATGTGGGATTGAATCATCTTTAATAATAAAATAATTTACACATTGTTCCTCAAGGCTGGCAACTGCTGTCATCTTCAACTGTGAGATACAGGGTGATACGAAATTATTTCCTTGCCAGAGGCCGAAAGTCATAACAAAAATCAGATTTCACAACTTCTCTGCCCCTCCTCCCTGTTGGTGGGGGTGTGGTATTTAGCATAAGGTCAAAAAGACCTGAGTTCAAACCCTGCTTCTGCTATTTAGCTGTGTGGCCTTGGCCACATTACTAAACCTTTCTGAGCCTGTGTTCTCATCCGGAAAAGAAGAGCAATATAATACCCGCCTTATCCTCAAAGGATATGTTCTAACACCCCCAGTGGGTGTCGGAACCTTGGACAGTACTGAACCCCATATATACTATGTTTTTTTTTTTCATACATACATACCTGTGATAACGTATAATTTGTAAAGTAGGCACAGTAAGAGATTAACAATAGAACAATTATAACAATGTAATAAAAATTATATGGATATGGTCTCTTTCTCTCTCTTAAAATGTCCCGTATTCACCTAGTTTCAGACCATGGTTGACTATGGGTAACTGAAACCCTGGAAAGAAAAACCACGGATAAGAGGGGACCACTGTACTGTCTCTCTCAAAGAATAGTTACGAATATTACATGACAGAACCAGTATTAAGTACCTAGGAAAAAAACAAAAGCACAATTGAAACCTCAGCCTTTGATTGTGGCTACTCTGGGACAGGCACTGTTCTGAGTACATAATCTTTTTTGATTCCTTTAATCCTCAGGGAAATAATATTATCCCCATTTTACAAAGAATAAACTGAGGTAAAGGCGAGGTAACTTGCCCGAAGTCACAAGGTGTTAAGTGCCAGAACTAGGACACGTGCCCAGGCAGCCTGACTCGGAGGCTTCAGAAGTTCAAAGTTGGTTTTTTTGGTTTTTTTTTTTCCCCATCCCCTTAACCCAAAGACCTGCTGACTTTCATCTAGGATTAGCCACTCATGCCTGCACATATTGTGCTGTTAAACTGCACATGAAAATTTAGGTTTTTCTTATTGTACAACTTTGGGTAAGTTATATAACTGGTCTGTCCTCAGTCTCTACACCAGCAAAATGGGGATACGAACGGTTCTTTCATAAGCTGATTGCTAGAGACAAATAAGATAATCAAAAGGCTGAGAAGAGTGCTTGACACATAGGACAGGCTCCACTTAGGAAGTGCTTTTAACATCCAAAGTAATGAACAATGCAATATGTTAGGAAAATTCTTGGTCTTCTGTGGCTTGGTAAGGCACACAAGATTTTGTGGCTGGCTGAATCCAGTATTTCAAATGGCTATCCTTGTTCTCTAGCAAACATACTGCATTTAAAAATAGATTGCTCATTCAATCAATAAAAAGAAAAACAGGTTCACAGGATTCTGGTTAGTAAGAAATGAGACTGGATATGGATATACTGAAATGAGGCCTAGATAAAATCAGACTGAAAGCAAGAATTTTAATAATAATAATAATAGAGCAGTCTTCTTGGAGGTTTTTAGGTTATAAATTATATTCCACCCACTGGATAAATGTTACAGTTAATGGGCAAAGAATTTGTGAAAAATCTATGGCCTGGTCAAAAAAAAAAAAAAACTTTGGGTGATACAGGTTAAAGCAATGTTATCCCCAACACCGTTGAATACCAGGAATTTTATATGTAAAAAAGCACAGCTTTTGTGAGCATGTTGGACATAAAACAAAACACCACATTAAAGGAAAGGCTGGAGGGCAGACAGGGCAAATGAACTCACGTGAGCCCTTCTGCAATCATTGTTACGGCCTTGTATTACTCATCTTGCACCACACTTAAATGTACAATAAAAAGCAAAAAGTGTGCAACACGCATTACTCTAGCTGCTTTTACTTGTTCCATAGAGATATGCGAAACAATTTCACTGCTCAGATTGAGGAAAAGAGGAGCTCATCTTATTTCAAGCCTGTAGCTGCTGCCACAGCCTCAGCACCACGTTCTAATCATAGACATCATCATGTAAATCTCTAGCAGATGATACCACTGGAAAACAGAAACTGCCATGGATCCAGAAATGCTTCCAAATTTCTCCTCTAAAGTTCTTATCTGTGAACTCAGAGGCTGACGCTGTCTTATTCAATGGGTGAGGCCCACTGGGAAACCCACATTATTTGGGAGACTATGAAGAACTTTCCACCATTCCTTGACTATATAAACGGCCTTTATCACGTATTTCATGATACATGAAAATGCTAAATATTTCACAACTACTCCAACTTATTTCTGAGGGTCTAAATCTATTCTGAAAAGGGTGTGCATCACACACCTACCTGTGTAGCTTATTAACTACCAATAAGAACTCACACAAATTGCAGGGGGTATGAAAGAATAGACTTCTGGAACTGCCCAGAAAAGAAGAGAAGGTACATTTTTCCTGGTTTTAAGATGAAAGCTCTTGTGTAAGTTAGAACATTACAGGAGTCGTTTAAATTCTCTTAGGTATACCTTTGGGGCATCATCCCTGGTTCCTGGCGAGTCTTTTTTTCTCCCTGTGATGTTAGGAGGAAGTCCCTAAGACTGGCTTTGCTATTAAAATACAGACATCTGCTGCTCTCCTAATTTTTGTTCTTTTTAAATGGGAGTACTCCCCAGAAACTCTTGGATATTGTGGGAACTAAGATCTGGGAGATGGGGACGGAATCTTTGTCTCCCTAACACATTCATCAGTTCCCTCCCTAGAGCCCCCCATACCCTCAGAACACACCAGCAGCCCACTCCTCCAAAGACGCCAGGGCTGGAAAGATTCATGTTGCAATATCCTCCTGACATTCCTCATTTTAATTCGCTCACTTTTTTTTTTTTTTTAAACAAAATGTAATTACTTGACTGTCAGCCTGGGCTGCACTCTGGGGCTTTTACTCCTTTCAACACAGCTGCGCTCCCGGCTTTGATGCTGCTGTCCACGCAGCTTGTCCCAGCCACAGCCTGGCTCTCGGTAATGTAACATTCAAGTGCATATTTATTTTTAAACTGACCTCTCCTAGACTGCACAGTATAAAGGAGATCCTGCCAAAAAATATGCTACTTTCTATTTATAAGATGAAACACATGCCTCCCAAAGTCGGAGGGGGATAGAGTATAATAATTCATAACGAAAAAACGATTGGCCAGATCCACTCGTCCTCACATGTCTGATACTTGTCTGTGTCAAGCCACTTAGTTTCAAGGAGAAAGGGAGGAAAACTAAAATCAAAAAACCTTGTAAACGTTTCAGCTGTTCACCGTCAAAAAACAAAAAAGTCAATATCCAGATTTCCAGGTTGGTGCCCCACTAACAATGTCCTCCATTAAGAAAGAGGAGGGCACCGGGCAGGCGATGCCACGGCAGAGCTGTGCGAAGCACCCATGTGCGGCCCTGGTACCAATTCACGACGCGAGGGGCGCGGTAGCCAAGTGCGGCTTGTTCTCAGATGGAAAAATGCTATACGCGCCCAGAATGGCTCTGTCAATAGCTCGGAGGGTGCAATGGGGCCGCGCAGCCCCACCCTGAAAAGTGGTGGGCACAAATGGTGGAGCTCTGAGTCCCGGTCATGCCGCCCGCCCCACTCCTGGCTTGCTTTATGTCCCCTTCGGTCCGTTGGACACTAGATGTGAAAGCGATGCCCTCGGTATCCCGGCTCCCCGCTGGTTTCCCAGCCTAACACCAGCGCACGCCGGAAGCGGCCACGGCGCGGGCGGGACAGACTCACAGACAGGTAGAGAGGAAGGAACCCTGGATTACCCAGACTCACCGGCCGCCGCTGAGAATCCCAGCCGCTGCCCCGGGCCTCCCGCGGGCGCACGCAGCCCCGGCCGGTGTGCGCAGATCCAGCCGAGTCTGCCGGCGCGGTGCCTGCTCACCGCATTATCCGCTCCGAGACAGCGTGAAGGCGCCCCAGGGCGGTGGCCGGGTCTCCGGGCTAACCCCGCGCTACGGACCCTCGGCCGCGAGAGAAGGTGCGCGCAACTGAGAGCTGGGCGGCCGGACGCGAGGACTGAACCTGCGGAGGGCGGGGCGGCGCGGGGCGGGGCCGGCGGCGCGGGGACGGACCGGGGCGGGGCGGAGGGCACGGGCCCCGGGGCCGACCCTCCCAGCCGCTGTACCTGTGCCCTGGCCCGGGGCCAACCGGCAGCCGGGCGCGCGCGCAGGGGGGGTCACCATTGGACCCTCGGAGGACAACGGGCGCCCATTGTTACCTCTCCAGCGCTACCCCCCAGTAGGCGACTTCCGTCGGAGAAGATGCCGCTTTCGACTCCCTAAGCACAAAGAAAGGTCGCCGGACGCTCGTTTTAAAGAGGGACCCGGAGGTGCTGCCGCCCGGGTGCACGGGGACAATAGGACTCCGCCCGCACCCCGGACTCCCGCACTAAACCTCGTGCGCCCACCTCTCCCGATCCCAACAGGCCGACCTAGCTGTGCGAAGTTCCGGCGTGGCGGGCGGTGACCGGCAGGGAAGCGAGGCCACCTGAGCGCGCCTCCCCGTTCAGGCCGCAGCTCCCCAGGCCCCTCGCAGCCAGTGCTCTGGTGGGCGCGGAGGGGGAGGGTCGCGTTCTGTCAGTTTCCAGCTCGCTCCCCTTGGAGCTGCAGCCAAAACCCGGAGCGTGGACTTCGCGCCCTGGAGATGCCGGAGCTCCGGGCTGAGCAACTGGACAAGCGACGAACAGCAGACGCTACAGGTTCTCCTGTCCAGAGGGAGGCGTTTCCTCTCCCTCAGGGTCTTTCAAAAGGATTTGCCTAAAGCTGAAGCAAGCTGGTGGCGGCTGCCCCAGACGCGCGACGAGGCGCAAGTGGCGCAGCTGCCGGCCCGGGAGCGTAAAATTCCGCCTGTGGTGGCACCTGCGCCCGCCGGTCAGCCGGCCACAGCCAGCGCCGCCGCCTGGCGCACCCCTCCCCTCCGCCGGGGCACGAGCGTGAACCGGGTTAATGAATGCTAATTTTCTTAATCGGCCTCCGTCTTTTCCTCCTCCGCGAGTCCTCGGCCTGGGGAAGGAGTAGGCGACAGGAAAGGGCGGTTTTTTCCGGCTGGGAGGTCCCAGCCCGCATGATTAGCCTGGGGAGGGGTCTGGGACCCCGGGGAGTCGGATGCTCGGGGCCTGGTCTCTGCCCTGAGACTCTCAGGTTGGATGGAAATCCCGGCACAACGCGGAGAACCTTCCGGGCACCTTGGCTTTGCCGAGAGGTATCTAGCTTCAGTCATCACCGCGGTCCTCTAGGTCTGTCTGAAACCCTAGAGGGTGCACCTTAAGCCGATGTTGTAAACCCAGGCTGACTTTAAGGTGAAGTGAAAAGGAAACGGACACAATCTGGAAAGCAAAATACTTGGGTGGGGTGTTAAAAGCTTCAAAGAAAAATAATAGTTGGCAGGTCAAATGGCCATGAGGTTGGAAGTCAAATAAGAAACTCGGCTGAAGTGATGTTAGAAGTTTGACAAGCAAAACAGTCCATGAAGATAAGAGACCCAGCATTGTTTCCCTTCTTCAAAAGACAACTCGTCCAAAGTTTCCTTTGGCAGATACCTGGATTCTACTCCAGATTCCTGAGCATTTTACTTGGGTTTCATATTTCAAAATATATGTTCCATTTGGCACTAATGTATATATTTTATATATTAATTTATTGAAAAATATTAAATGTTGCTGGCCTACTTAGAAAAAGGTATTTTTATAAATATTTATGCATAGTTTTCATTACATATGGTATTTTATAAGCCCAAATAATATGTGTGCATATATATATGTATAAAATACCACATGAAAAATTCCATTTGAACACATAAAGACATTCCTGACACACATGTCTTGTATGTAATTTTTTTATGTGATCTATTGTTAGCTGCTGTTAAAGGTACTTTATTTCAACATGGCCAAATAAGTTCTTTACAGTTTGTGCAAATATAGAGTGGCAGGTTGTCTGAAGTGGCAGTTTTATTCTAAAACCTATTTTTACTTTTCTGCATTATCCCTTGCCTTTTAGAGGCTTTCTCTCCCTCTGCCGTTTTTAAATGAGACTTCACTGCTGGACTCTGAACAGTTATCCAGGACCTGCTCATTCAGGGGCCTGGTGGTTTGATTTATCTTGGTTCCGTTGCTGCCTTCCCTCCCCACCCTTCCCCTCCCCTCCTCACCCTTCCCCTCCCCTCCCCTTCCACCCCTGCCTCCCCTCTGTTCCCCTCCCCTCCCCTTCCTTTCCTTTCCTTTCCTTTTTTTTTTTTTCCCAGGGTCTCAAACTCCTGGCCTTAAGTGATCCTTCTGCCTCAGCCTCCGAAAGTGCTGGGATTACAGGCATGAGCCACCACACTCTGTGCCTTATGTTATTTCTTTGTATTGAACATTTTTAGTGAGTAAATGATGCCCTCATAGAGTGAATTATTATTCTAAACGAGTGCATTTCCCGTGCTAACCATAATAGCTTGTAGAGTTGATGGATTTAAGTTTCAATATGTTATGGGACTCTACTACTGGAAGAGAGGAAAAACTTCGCTTCAGAAAGATTTTAGGCGTTTTGAGATTCTGCTGTGAATTTTGGAAAGGTTTAGCCTTAAACATTTGGTGGTAACCTTAGAAGCCTAGTTGAGACTGCTATCTGTAGAACACCTGTGAGGCCCAACAGTGGACTGTTTTTCTATTAGTCCCTACTTGGGAGAAAAGCCAAGTAGTATTGGCGGTGCCCTTGCTGTCCAGAAACCTGTGATCTACCTAAGTGCAGAGAGCAGCTTGCCCATGTACACAAGCAAATGCTGACCACATTCTAGTCTCTTGCTACCACGTGCGGTCCCAGGACCAGCAGCACCAAGCCTCACTCCAGGGCTACCGAATTGGAATCTTCAGTCTAATGAAATGTGGATAGTTTGCATGCAGATTTAATGTTTGAGAAGCACCTTCCATGAATGCTTGGTGGTTCTCTACCTTTTAAAGCTACAAACTCATTTGAAAATCTCATGGGATTTATGAACACCCTTGGAAAAACATATTGAATGATACACTAAATTTTTCATATGCAGTTTCAGCGTTCCTGTAAATAATCTATCCATGCCGGGGAAGTCCTGGGTTAAGACCCCCTAGTCACAAAGAAGTCACAAAGAAGATTGACTCAGCGTCAGCTGGAGGAGTTAAGAGAAGATTCTCACAGGGGGCAGAGCTTAAATTAAACTTGGGGGAATTTGATAGGAAGAGGAGTAAAGAAGAGTATTTCAAGCTGTTGAAATGCAAAGGTAAATGGTCCTGAGAGGGAAAACAGAGAATGTCCATTTTTGTATGTGTTCATGTGAAACCTAATGAGGAGATTGTTGTTTGATAGCAGGCTTTCCTTGCAATTCCTTATCATCACTTGAACATCCAGAAAATGAAGCCAGACTGTGGACTCAGTAGTCATTCCACTTTGGGTGTGCAGGAACCCTATGACGTGGGGGTTTCACGTAAGATCTCATTTCCTACTCTTTTGCTCGCCTCTCACTCTGCTCCAGCCACACTGGCCTTCAGGCTGTTCCAGGCACTCCCGACAACAGAGCCTGGCCCAGTCTGTCTGCGTGGGGCAGTTCTTCCCCAAATCAGCAGAAGGCTCAGTAAGATCTTTATTCAAATAAGACTTCAAGGGAGAGGCTTTCTTTCTAAAATAGCGGTCCCTCCCACATTCCCTTTCCCTAAATACAACAGGAAGAACAATTGCTTCACTACTTGGCATTGTATTTATTTATAAATTCATTTATGGCCTGCTTCCTTAAATATATGAACTTTATTTGCTGCTGTATCTCCTATGCCTAGAATAGGGCCTGGCATACAGTAGGTACTCAATAAGTGTTTATTGAATAAATGATCTTTTAACTACCACCAGTAATGAGTGTAAAAGCCATGTTTACAAACTCTATAGCTACAGAAATCATCATATATGAAACATTCTTGGAATATACCGCATGTTTGCTGAGACTGAATTTTCAACCACTTCTCTTTAGTCTAATGAAACAAGAAATACTAAACACATGGAACATTTTAAGTTTGAAAATTCAAACATTTTAAAGTAAGGCTTACAAAAAATGTCTGTAGAGTCCATGTATAATGCATAACTATTTTTCTTCTGGCAAAGCTGAAGCACACTCGTGTGTACTCAGCTGGGGTTTTCCTCCAAAATGCCACATCCAGACTGAATTCGTGTGTGTATGGTCTCGATTATCGCCCCAAGTTAGATTTAAGGAAAATGTAGGAGAAGCTGGAAGGTTAGAACATTTTGAATGAGAATTTCCTTAAAACTTGAGTGTTCCCCTCCTTGCTACCCAATTAAAATTTCACCAGTCCTGGAAATATGTCAACCTGTGCTAATGAACTTGATTGACTAATTGCCAAGGCTAAGGAATTTTCTAACCAGTGATTTCCTTGTAAAGAAAGAAATTTAGGTCACATCTTGGTTGGGAGATTTCAGCTTTGCCTAATCAAATGCAGCAGGAAATGGTATACTATGAGATATACTACGAGAGGCTATGTCTGCATGGGGACTACGGGCCTAGGATACAGTTCTAAGCAGGTTACACAGTCACTCACCATAACCACCAAATACGTTTTTGGCATTTGTATTAGCTCTTGAACTTGGGCCAGCACCAATTTAATTTGTGCATAAGACCTTCAAATATAGATGCATACTTGATCCTGTTAGTGCAAACCAGTGACTCATAAAGAGCATTACTGTATATTTATATAGCCTTCTATACTTCCAAAAACACTTTTTCATTTCATCTTCATTTTACGTCGTTTTGTTCTTGCTGGGTAGGTAAGGCATTTATGGTTGATTTACACATTTCTTCTTTCCGGAAGGGATTTGAGGCAACGTAGAAGGCTTTTGTATAGAATGAGTCATTCCTTTTTTTCCCAGCTTTACTGAAGTATAATTGATTGAGTCATGCCTATTGTACTCTTTGTTATGTGCTCTTTCCCCACATACCTGTATGTCTCCCTCCTTAGCTTTCTTCCCGTGTCTACTTAAATCTGAGCTCCTAGAGGACTGTAGATAAAGTATCACCCATGGCCTTCTTTATCCCAGCACCCCCTTTATTCTTCTTCATAGCACTTAACACCTGACATTGTTGATTGTCTATTTATTTGTTTATTGCCTCCCCGCTCCCCATACCACTAGAATATAAACTCCATGAGGGGTAGACATAAGCAGGGCTTATGGAAAACCCAAAGATGGAAGCCATACTCATATTTTCAAAAATATGAGGGCTGTGCAGAAAATTCAATTCAATTAAAAACTGTATTTTTGAGGGGTTTCCTTTTAAGTAAACTTTATTTTTTTAGGGCAGTTTTAGAGTCACAGCAAAATTAAGCAGAAAGAACAGAGTTTCCATAATCTTCCCACCACCCCCACATATGCACACCTTCCCTGCTATAAAATCCCACAACAGGGTGGTACTTTTGTTACAACTGATGGATCTACATTAACACATCGTTATCCCCCAAAGCCCATCATTTCCATTAGGCTTCATTTGTTATGTTGTGCTTTCTATGAATTGTCAAATATAAAATGATATGTATCTACCATTTAGTATCAGAACAGTTCTATTGCCCCGAAAATCCTCTGTGCTCCACTTATTCATTCCTCCCTTCCTTCCCCAATTCCACCCCAGCGGTCCTGGCAATCACTCATTTTTTTACTGTCTCCATAGTTTTGACTTTTCCAGTATGTCATATAGTTGGAATCATACAGTCTGTAGCCTTTTCAAATTGGTTTCTTTTACTTAACAATATGCACTTAAGATTCCTCCATATCTTTTCATGGTTTGATAACTCATTTCTTTTTAGCACTGAATAATATTTCATTGTATGGAGGTACCACAGTGTTTTATTTGTTCACTTATTGCATATTTGTGAAGTTCTTACTCTGAATGAGGTATTAAACTATATGCCATTGGGAGACATAATAACCTAAGACACTATTTACAAAGCAAGGCATTGTTCTGTCATTCAAGGAACTTACACTCCTTTGGGCCTTTGTTAAGTGGTGGAGTGGAGAAATGGGGTCTCAAGGAAGGAGAGATTCCAGCTGGCTGAGTTTCATGCTTCCTGAAGGGAAATGCATCTGAGGAGGATTAGGATGGGTAGAATTCCAACACTGCATGGGCTGAATTGCGTCTCCCCCAGCAAATTCATACGTTGACGTCCTAACCACCAGTACCTTAAAAGGACTGTATTTGGAGATACAGCCTTTAAAGGGGCTTAAGGTTAAATGAGGTCATATAGGTGGACTCTGATCCAATGTGACTGGTGTCCTTACAAGAAGAGGAGATTTGGACACACACACACAGACTCCAGCGGTATGTGTGAGGGGCACAGCGAGAAGATGGTTGTCTGCAAGCCAAGGAGAGAAGACCCAGGAGAAGCCAGTGCTGCTGGCATTTTGATCTTGGACTTCCAGCCTCCAGAACTATGAGGAAAGAAATTGCTGCTGTTCAAGCAACCTAGCGAAATACCTCGTGATTATTTCAGTTTGTCTTTCCTTTTCCTAATTGCAGACTCATAGCAAATAGTGATATTTTGTTAGGGCCGCCCTAGGAAATGAATAAAATTGTGAAGACAAGAAGGATAGTGATGCAGCAGTGAGAAGGGCGTGAAGAATGTTCAGAGGCTGGAACACATGCCTGTGTTCAAGATGGAGCCCGGGTTGACTGGTAGTTCAGGGCTATTTCACCAGGCTGTTGTTGGCCTTGGGGAGGCCGGCAGAGGGGAGTCCATGAGGGTGCTGGGATGGAATGACCCCTAGGATCGCCCTTGTGAGTTCGGTCAGCCTTGGAGGTGGTGGCTTGGTAATAGGAGATGTTTGTATTTTGCATGTTTTCAAGTCAATGAATGCCAGTCTTTAAAATGTCTTGGCTCACTTCTGTTTTATTCCTGGTGTCAGTATACAATGGTTTTAGAACAGTAAGTTTGCAACACTAAAGGACATATTTTGTCGAGAAACCAGCTAAAAATATTTCAAGATGTTTCTCTTCACCAAGTAAGCTCCTTGCCATCCTTGGCTTTCCTTCTCCTGTGTTCCTGAACCTCAAAGCAAAATGGTTATTTAAAATAGAGGCGCAGATGTAGCTGATCAATTAAAAGAATATCAGTGCTTAATGAGATCTTAGAGGTGAACTAGTCCTGCCCTCTCATTTTACAGCAGAGGAAACAGAGACTAAAGGAAATTAGTGATTTTCTCAAGATTGTCCAGTTAGTTAGTAGCAGAGGCTCCTACTGTAGACAGGTTGTTTTGCTAAATAATTTTGTTTCTATATTAAAAAAGAGGTTCATCCTTGCAAGGGTTAGGATGGGAAAGTGCTCTGAGTTACGTCTGCGGGAGGCTCATGGAATCCAGATGAAAAGCAAGTGCTCTGGTGTCAGGCCCCTGGGTTCAGACCCCTGCTCTCCATCAGCTAGCCCTGTGACCTTGGGTCATTACTTAAGCTCACTAAGCCTGAGTTCTTATTTGTAAGAATGGTGGTGGTACGGGGAGGTTATCACAGAACCCACCTTGAGTGTGATGTGAAGATTAAGTGAAACTGAAACAATTATTACCGATGTGACTGACACATTATCAGGCCTCAAAACATATGCTCTTATCTGTTCTTCCCACCACACAAGGATACCATATTTGTCTCTGTCCCTGGGCCCTGGCACAATTCCTGTTCCAGTCTGTGTGTGACAAAATGTGTTGGATGAATGAAGCATCAGGAGTGGCCTAGAGGGAAGGATAGCACACGACACTGGGAACGAAAAAGGAAGCAGAATACAAGATTATATACAGATAAGGGAGATCTGTAAATATTTAGATTCTCAGGCAAGGGGAAAGATGTGAGAAGTGTTAAAGGGCAATGAAAGTAAAAGATGAATTCTCCACCTCCAGGGGGTGGCCACAGGGGGTCAGACAACAGGTGTACTTGACATGCATTGCAAAGCATGAAGTGCAAAACAGGTGTATAGGAGCCATCAATACCAGAAGCAAACACACCTTACTAAAATTTCAAGAAGACAATGTTGCCTCAAGCATCTGGAGAAGCTTACACCTCTCAGATCTCAGGAACCAGGGAGGTCAAGGGGGAAGAGACTGAGGACAGTCGCAGGCAGCTTCAGCAAAAATAGACCCAACAATAAAAATTATGTAAGAAGTGTATTAAGTATGTCTTTTTAGTCTGATTCTTCAACATCTTCGAGTCTAGCTGACATTGAAAGGAACTGCCCCTCCCAGGGTTATGAAATTCCTAGAGATAGCAATTTGCCTGGGAGCCTATCTTTCATATGCAAACCAGCCAATCCAAAGTCCACACCTCTACCACCTCCTTTATCTGGCTCTTATATGCAGACCCACTATCCCGCTGTCCTAATCACCCTAGGCCAGCACAGGATACCATATGACCAGAGACAGCCCCTATGCCCCAGATCCTGCTGAAATTATTCAAATGACCCAATCCAAAACCTGCTTACTCTGCCTTTCCCTTCTCAATAAAGGCTCTCGTCCATGATCCCCCGTCACTCCTTCTTTCTCTTGACTCACCGTTCTCCATGTGGCCCTACCTAGGGTGCTGTGCCTCCTGTTATTAGGTATCTGTAAGTACAAAAACTTATTCCTTCATGACTGTCTTTTCTGCATGTCTTACCATACCTGATTAAAACAAATCCCAGGTACTCTTATATTAATAAAAAGGAGCCATCAGGGTTTCTAGGATCATCTCCTCTATCTAGATGACAGCCCTCTCTTCTCTTTTTGGGCATGTTTTTCGTTTCGGTTTGGAAAGGATAATCTCTTCTGTGTTCTGAGAAGTTACTTTGTGCATTTTTCTCCTCTCTTTCTCATTTATTTTCTGTAAAGCATTATTAGCTCCCACAACTTTGTTTGCTCTCTTATTTGATAATGGAGTACATAAGAGCTAAAGTCAAGTGGAGGAAACAAGTGGTGGTTTCTACATTCCGCTTCTTATAGGACCCGGAAGAGGAGCACCTCTTCTATAGCCTGAGCTATCTCAACACTGTTCTCCATGGCTCATGCTGGTGACTCAGATTTCTTGTTTAGTTTTTAAGTTTTACTCCCCACTCTTGACAAACTTTTAATATTTTTAAAAGCGGTCAAACAACAATGAAGTACCAGTATACACCTATGAGAATGGCTAAAATCCAAAAATAACTGACAATACCATTTGCTGGCAAGGATCAACAGAACTTTGTGGAACAACAGGAGTCTCATTCATTGCTGGTGTGAATTTAGAAAGGTAACAGCCACTTTGGAAGATAGTTTGGCAGTTTCTTAGAGTTAAACATAGCCTCATGATAGGACCCAGCAATCATGTTCGTAAGTATTTACTTAACTGAGTTGAGAACTTATGTCTACACAAAAATCAGCGTGAGAATTTTATAGCAGTTTTACTTATAACTACCAAAAACTAGAAGTAAACTTTAGTAGGTGAATGGCTAAATAAACTGTGACACATCCGTACAATGGAATGAGCTGTCAAACGACAGGAAGACGTAGATGAATCTTAAATGCATGTTGCTAAGTGAAAAAAGCCAGTCTTAAAAGGTTACATAATGTATAGTTCCATTTAAGTGATATCCTGGAAAAGGCAAAACTCTTCTGGAGACGGCAAATAGACCAGTGGTTTCCAGAAACTCTTGGTGAAAGGAATTGAATAGGTCAACTACTGGGGATTTTTTAAAGGGTGGTAAAACTATTTTTTTATGATACTGTGATAACGCTAGATGCATGACACTATGCACTTGTCAAAGCCCATAGAACTTTACAGCATACAGAAAGAAACTTAATTACACAAAATTTAAAAAATATTTAGAAGGTTGGAGGATTCCAGGATGAAATGCAAAATATGACAAAATAATCTAACTGTATTACAAATGCATGAAATAAGCTTATTGAAGGGGATGTGGGAGAAAATGCTTACCGAAGCAAGTTTGGAAATGAATCGAGTCTGTAAGATTAAAGGCAAAAAGAGCTCTATATAAGCACTCAAACTTAAAAAGTTATTTCTACATGGGTATGGCTTAACAATTATGGAAGTACTATACAGGACACTGGAATTGAACAACGAAATAAATGAATGAAATAAATTTAACACTTCTCACATCTTTCCACTTGCCTGAGAATCTAAATATTTACAGATCTCCCTTATCTGTATATCATCTTGTATTCTGCTTTCTTTTTCATTCCCAGTGTCATGTGCTATCCTTTTTATTCCTTCTGACGGCAGAAGCCAGGTTCTTCATTGTAGGAGGGGGAGGAAACAAGCAAGGGGGAGAAGGTTAGAATTATCTATGTGCTACTGGGTTGGGATAGGAGACATCAGTATCAACTCATATTTAGCTTAATATAGATACAGATGGTTACAAAGAGAAGGATTTATAGATATATGTGTATAGACATGGGTTAATTTACACACATATAAGTTATTTCTCTGTCAGCTGAGCCTAGAAGCAGTAACACCTCTGCAACAAGGAGTACGTCTAACTCTTGGTTTCTAATACCATTCTCCAATAAAAGAACCAAGCTCCTTGGAGACGTAGACTGTAGGATGGAGCAGGAAATATACAAGAAGAACCTAGAGCATTTTGTAGCTCCTAAAAGTAAGAAAGTGCTCAATCAAATCCAATAATGACAGGGCTATGTTACAGGGACACAGGAGCCAGCTGGATGTATTCTCCATGGCCAGGGCTGGAACAGCTTGAGTAACAAAATAAAATAGTATTGAAAGTGCAAAATAAATATCCATGAGACCAAACTGATACAAATAAATGATTGAATAAATAAATCAATGGGGGACAATAGACAAATCTCCTGGGTAGAAGAATTTCAAATAATTTCTGTAGATATTTTGCCATCAAAGAGTGGAGTATAAATCTCTGCTTCTTAATTGTGTGCTATGCATTGTGACTTCCTTCCAGAGTATATTATAAAAATGTGGGGAGGTGCGGTGGGGGAGAAAGGCTGTAATCCTAGCACTTGTGGAAGTCAAGGTGGGAAGATCACTTGAACCCAGGAGTTCAAGGTTGCAGTGAGCTATGATCACACCACTGCCCTCTAGCCTGGGTGACAGAGTGAGACTCTGACTCTAAAATAATAATAAATAAACAAATAAATAATAACAATAATATAAAATACAAATAAAAGATGAGAGGAGTAACTTGACAGTGGAGAAAACTAACAAATACTACCCCAGGCAGGTGACTAAGGTCAATATCAGCAGTCATAAATCTTGTTGATAGTATGCAGCCTTGATATATGATGAGAATGACATTTTACCTCTGTGGTCTTCATTTCATAAATCCATAACTCCAGACTAATCACGAGAAAGCCATCATATAACTGCCAATTAGGGGACATTCTACAAAATACGTGAGGAGAAATGACAGGAGTACTCCTCAAAACTGTCAAGGTCATAAAAAGCAAGGGAAGTCTTAACAGTCATGGCAAACAAGGGCCTAAAGAGACACGACAACTAAATTTAATGAGTTATGTTGGATGGAATCCTGGAACAGAAAAAGAATATTAGCTAAAAACTAAGGAAATCTTAATAAATAATAGACTTTAATTAAAAACTATATATCAATATTGGTTCATTACTTATTACAAATGGACAATATTAATGTAAGATATTAATAAGTGAGAATGGGTATAGGATATATGGGAACTCCGCATTATCTTTGTAATTTTTCTGGTAAGGCTAGAAATATTTTAAAATAAAACACTTCTTTTTTTAAAAATGCTGGGAAGAGGATATGCCCTTAGTTATTTTGCTGAAAGCTGATTTCTGTCTTTAATCATTCTATAATTTGTGGCTGGAAATTTAACTTTTTAAAAAATATTAATAAAATGATTACATTTTAACTCAGCATAAAGAGCTAAAACATCTTACATAAATAATAAACAAAGAGCAGAAAGCTGGAAATAAATGATTAAACCAGTAAGAACATGGGTTAGGACTAGATAATTTCTTCTATACTGATGATAAGGGCTGATCATAGCACTGTTGTGGTTTGCATTACTGAAATGAAAACATGAAAGTTCATGGCAAAGACAGACATTGCATTCAGCTAGTGTATATTGCAAGATACCTTTCATATACAAAATACTGCTGGTCTTGGAACATGTTTGCAAATAGATGACTTTAGAGAATACTGGTGACCCCAAACCCTTAGATATCAATAAATAGGTGAGTGGGTAACTTGAAACTTTGGCAAGAAGGTCCTGTTGACTTTGGCCCTGCCACTGACAAGCATGTAGCTCTTGTGGTTGACTGACTCATAAATTCAGATCATTTTCTAATGTCCGGCAGTCTACTTTAGAATCTTCTAGAAATTATATAGACTCTAGTACCCACCATCTCCAAAAAGATGGTCAGCAGGGATGTTATGAAACCTTTAAAGGTTTCTGGTAGGCTGTAAATGTCTTATGGATGTGCAGTATGGCATAATGAGTAATCTCTCTGCAAAGGAGGAAGTTGAAGGGCTTTCTCTTGGTTTAAATACTGACTCTGGCCCCACTCCCCCCACATAAATTCTGTGTTTCTGTTTATTCAATATATATTTACAGCATCATTGATATGTGCAAGATCTGTGCTAGAAAGTATGGGCAACACAAACATGAATTAGACACAGGTCTCTCTGATCTTCCTTCAAGGACCTGATGATTGAATAGGGGCAATAAAATTTGCATAAATAATGAAAAAAGGTACTGAGTAGTCACTGGATAATAATATTACTGAAGGAGAATTATTCTATTTTTTTCTCCTGCCTAGTGAAACCTATGAGATCACATGAGGCCATTTATTTGTCAATTATATCTTTGGTTGAGGCTCTCATCATATCTCACCTGGTTCCTTTACACCTCCTCCCCAGATCCCACTAGTCACCAAGTCAAATAGATTGGACCACCTCATGTGGCTTCTTATAGCCATCAGGATAAAACACAAAGTACTCAGCTGACTACAAAAATATTCTGTTATGCCCTGGCTATGCCTACCTCTCTAACCTCATCTTCTACCATCCCCAGTGTCTTACTCCATTTTCACGCTGTTAATAAAGACATACCTGAGACCAGGTAATTTATGAAGGAAAGAGGTTTAATTGACTCACAGTTCAGCATGGCTGGGGAGGCCTCAGGAAACTTACAATTATGGTGGAAGGGGAAGCAAACACGTCCTTCTTCACATGGTAGCAGCAAGGAGAAGTGCTAAGCAAAAGGGGGAAAAGCCCCTTATAAAGCCATCAGATCTCGTGAGAACTCACTCACTATCACGAGAACAGCATGAGGTTAATCACCCCCACAATTCAATTACCTCCCAGTGGGTCCCTCCCATGACACATGGGGATTATGGGAACTACAAGGTAAGATTTGGGTGGGGACAGCCAAACCATATCACATGACATCCCACATTGTCATGTTCTTTCACCTCACTCTGTGCAGTGCTGCCTCCTCTTTTTAGAATGCCCTTCCCCTGCTCTCCATCTGACTATCTGCTACCTCCATATCCTTCAAGTCTCAATAGAAGCATCACTTCATCTGTGAAGTGCTCTGGGGTCCTTTTCACTGGGTGATTTTCCTTCCTTGTCCATGACTCTGTTCCTTTTCATATCTCTTGGGATGTACACTCCAGCCCCTTCCTTCATATATTCTCACTCATCCTTTAAGATTCCCCCTGGTCAGCCCTCCTTTCCTTAGTCAGAGTTAATTATCCTCTGCTCTGGCCAGTCATTAATACTTTTTTATTCCTCCATTATAGTACTGAGTTGCATCTGACTTGAGATAGTTGCTAGCATGCTTTGTCTGGTGTTTTCACCTGATCACAAACCGTTTTAGAATAGGCACTTATCTTCATCTTTTATTTTAGGACAATGCCTGGCACAACACTTGTTGATTAAGTTAATTACCTTTTCTGTGGTTACTTGGGCCTCTAATCAACCAGACATCGCAAATCTGACACAGAGACTGCCCCAGTTAGCCTCATTTCTGAACGTTCTAACAGGCAGGCTATGTCAGTCTGTATAGGACTTAATGAGCCTCAAACCCCCAAAAAATGGAATTTACAGCATGTTTATTTCTTCTCTCTAGATATATATTCTGCAATCATGACCAAACAGAAGGACTAAATCTGGATCAGAATCTGAAATGTAAAAAGGCTACTTGTCAACCACACCATTGTTTTCTGTTGGAGCTAGCAGAGCAGCCTCGGCTGCACATTCCTGGGACGTGAATAATATCGGTTGTGATTACACTTCAGTATCTCATCCATTACCAGCCCTGTGAACACTGAATATAACCTAATTAGGAAATGTGAAAGGCCCTTTGCTAGGGATGAGTGCTGGGGCAGCAGAGGTCCACATGCCTTCCCGACACAGGGATTCACTGAGTTTCACACACAGGTTTGGATCCTGCAGGGCTCAAGGACAGACTTTACTGGTCTAGTCCACATTCCTCGTATAATCACCAGTAAGCTGAGAATGTGACACCTTGGATTCCATCCTATGTTATGCTCCTCTTTAAATGCATTGCAAAGGAGATATGCCAAGACTGATAAGTCAGTCAATTTCAAATAGGCATTAAAGTATTAATGAAGTGATTAACTCCCTCTAACACATTTTTTTGTTTACTAGTTGCTACTGGCCTTGAATAGGAATTTCGAATTTGTTGTTGACAATTGGCTTCTCATCTTTCACTGAATTCTTCTAAGCTTGTCTTTTCCTACACAGCTCTTCAAATGCTTTCAGAGGACTGCATTCTGTCTTCCAAAGTGCAGAGAGCAGAGCACTAAGGATGTCTGCAGGCTTAATTACAAAGGATGTGATTCTGTTATTCTTATGCCATAACTTTTCTTTGCAGTAAAAGCTGCTGCATTCATTTATTCAATCCTATGTCCCTGCATTCACCTGACACTTGCTGAGCACCTGCTATAGTCAGATTCACCTCATGCCCATGGTGCTCTGGCATCCTGCATTTATAGGGTAACTGGCAGGAGAAAAGAAGAGGCCTGTGGCCATAAGGCAGTGAGATGGAGTCATCTGCTCTGGGAGTTAGCACCCTGCCACCCACACAGAACCCAGCCAACTGAGCTAACTGATAAGTCAACCTTAATTCTGCTCTAAATTATTTTTCATCAAACCACCCTCTGCTGAATCAATGTACATTCCTATAACCTGTATCTTGCCCTGGTAATGTGTGAACTTCAATGTCATGGTCCAAGGTTTTGCTGCTGGGACATGTGGTCTCAGGATGATCATCAGAATCCTTCACTAGATGCTCTAAACCATCACTAGATGCTCTACAGTTTGCCACTTGTTTCCAAGTGTCCTATGTCCACCTCATTTTACAGAACTGGGCTTCCCTTGAGTTCTCATTCTGGGTACCTAGTCTATTTCCCTGCAATTCTTATTGCTGGGTTCTCTCCTCAGGGAATGGAGCCTGGCTTTGGTATAGATTTCCATGAAGTACTAGGATTCCAGATGGCGCCCACTCAATTTTGTTCACCCAGCTCTGACCATGAGTGAACCCTTCTGTAACTTCTGCCTTCTAACCTGGTGTTTGCCTGCATTGTATCTGGACATTGCTCAGTTGCCTTGGTTGCTGTGCCCCACCTGCTTGTCTGAACTTCTGTTGTTACTCCAGTCCCCGCCTGTCCCTGCAGCTCCACACTCACTCCCACCCCCATTTGTGTTAATGTCAATGCCTTACTGAAAAATCTTGAAATGTGATAGGGAAGATAGTGGTGGCATTGTTACTACTACTATTACCTTACCATTTGGAAAACTGAGGCTCAGAGGATTAAGTGACTTGGCCAATTACTTGTCTAATAAAGAGCAGACCCCTGTCTCTAATAGTTTGCTCTTTGCCCAAATCCATGCTGTTTGCTCTGAAAAGTCTTATGAGTAGCTTTGACAATTAGATGCTTTACAAAGGTAAAGAATACACAGGATATAAAGGTTTTATTGTTTTTATGAGCAGCACGTGGGCTTTCTCCAGTATGTAGCAACGCATTTCTTCTGTTGCTAACCAGGTCTTTGAAACATAAAAGCTTTTGCTTCATTCTCAGATGAAGCTTGCACGTGGGCGGGAAATTTTGACAATGTCTACAGGTGCCAGTGTGAACAAGTCTAAAACTTCATTTGTGGTTATTTAGAATGGAAGCCTCATTTCTAAACAGATAATGCTATAAAAGGTGGTTAGATTCTTGGGCTAGCTCACAAAAGCAGTTTAACTAATAATGCAGCTGGAGTACATTTCTAATTCATAAGATAGCTGAAGTAATGTATATGTTATGCTCTTGCAACATAATAATCAAGGCTCTGATTAATTAAGGAATGTGTATTTGGAGTCCTGGTCTCTGTAGAACTGTCTCCTGACAGCAGCAGTGATTTCACCACTATTGGCTCCAGAGTGCTTAGGGGTTGCTGGGAAATTTTCCTGAAGTTTCATAGCCCAGAGAGCTAGTTTGTTAGGTGGGAAGTCAGAAGTTACTCTAAAGAGAAGTCAGGAGTTTTTGGGAAAAAAAAAAAAAAAGTGTAGATGAAGAGTAGAAAAAGGGCAAGAGAAGAGGAATACTGGAGAAAAATGGTATAAATAGAGGAGTTGGAGGAAAAGAGAAAGAAAAATTGATAGAGTCACAGCCAGCTAAGGATGAGAAGTAAACTCTGACAAGGAACTGGGAACTAATAAAGGGACTTAGACAATGTGGAGTTAGCAGATTAGGAATTTAAAACGCAAGAGATAAAAGACGATTTTGGCAGATCTTGAATGACTCTGGATAGAGAAAGATCAGTTTTAGAGAGACGTTTTAAATAAAATGCTATACTAGTAAAGTTTATGGAACTTTAGGCATAAATAATGAGCTGCCAGATTAGCCAGTGATTCTCACTGATGGGGGACAGGGTGCAACCCAGGAAGAGCATGAGACCTGAGGACCCATGGGAGAGAGAGACTTGTAGGGAAGCTAAGTATTCCTCCATGCCCAGCAAAATAGAAAGACGGCAATCCTGCAGAGAAGGAACAGATAGCTTTGGTGAAATAGGTACCCTTATGTCTGTCTTTGCTCTCTTACAGGACTAGGATGGGGAAGAAGTCTTGACTAGAATAAGATTTGGTCTAAAGAAAAGAAAAGCTAAGAATGACAATTAAGCGAATGGCACTGATGTTTTCAAAGATACCGTAAGGGGTTTCTTTGTTAGTTGGTTTACATAAGGAAAAGCCTGGACAAGGTCTGGAAACAGAAGAATATGAAAAAGGAATTGAAGTCTCTGTGCCAATAATTTTAAAATGCTATCTTTATTGTGACCTCAGGCAAATTCTGCAGATAATACTCCTTCAGGTCAATGTTTCTCTCTTTTGTATTTGTAGAGGGATTTTTTACTACACTTGTTCTGGAGAGGTGAGTATGTATGGTTTGGCTGAAGGTCCATAGTGTTGTCCCAGATTGAACAACTCAGTCTTTGGGGAGATGCTGTAATGAACTATGTCTCATGGCTGTCCTAGCAGGGACTGGGCAATTGTGTTTTAGGAGAAGACCAACCCCCTTAAGTAGGGGAATAAAGTTTTCTAGAGGAAGGTAGAAGCTCGCAACATGATCGATTTAAGAATATTCTTTCTTGGCCGGGCATGGTGGCTCATGCCTGTAATCCCAGCACTTTGGGAGGCCTAGGCGGTGGATTATGAGGTCAAGATTTCGAGACCAGTCTGGCCAACATGATGAAACCCTGTCTCTACTTAAAAATACAAAAAATTAGGTGAGCATGGTGGCAGATTCCTGTAATCCCAGCTACTTGAGAGGCTGAGGCAGGAGAATTGCTTGAACCTGGGAGGCAGAGATCACAGTGAGCCGAGACCTTACCACTGCACTTCAGCCTGGGCAACAGAGCGAGACTCTATCTCAAAAAAAAAAAAAAAAGAAACAAAAGAAAAGAAAAGAATATTCTTTCTCAGCCTGGTCAACATGGAGAAAACCAATCTCTACAGACAATACAAAAAGTATCTGGGTATGGTGGTGCAAACCTGTAGTCCCAGCTACTTGGGAGGTTGAGGTGGGAGGATTGCTTAACCTGGGAGGTTGAGGCTGCAATAAATTGAGATCGTGCCACTGCACTTCAGCCTGGACGACAGAGTGAGACACTAAAAGAAAAAAAGTTATTTTTATATTTCTGAAGGACAGGAGAGCAAGGCTAGGAGAGGGTGGAACTCTTAAGAGCATCTATGCAAAGGATTTAACTTGCTACTTGATTGTTTCATAGATCCTGGGAACACAGTCATTTTTAGGGTCATTAGTGATGATTAAGGTTAACTGAATATTAAAATTTTAATATTAAAAATTATAATTACATGTATCTCCAAACCCTTAGTTAAGTCCAACAGCCTTGTGTTATCGATGGACTGGGGTGAATGAAGGAATGTGACAATAGAGGGAAGTGTCACCTTTTGCTGAGGTCAGTGTGACAGCAGCAGAGTTCTATGGAGGGGACAGTATCCTGGAGGTCCAGGGGGTGAACTAGCAATGAGGAGCCAGAGGCTCAAGGCAGAGCTGGGAGAAGCAAACTATAGTGCTGGACTACTTCAAAAGCACATGCATTGGAATACACAAATGAAACAATGGAGACTTTTCTGCCTACTCTTCCATTAATAAGTTGGAAAGGCAGATTTCTCAGGATCCCACATAGCTGAGTACATGTTTGAGGCTGTCACAGGAACTCTATGCGTGGATTCTAGAAGGGTTGGAAATGCATGGAGAAGGTGAGAGCCAGGAAGGACCCATCAGAAGCCAGTGGGGAAGCCAAGCCAGAAAGTCATTCTACCTCATCAGTCACTATAGTGCAGTGGAAAAATGCATATATAAAGATGTAGGATTTTGGCAGGATTAGGAATTGCTTTTTCCATTCCCCATTTACTGATACTATTTATTATGTGTTGCTTCCTGTTAATTAAACTTCTATTAAAATAATCTTGTAGTGAGAGTGTTGGCAAGAGAAATACCTGATCTTTATTTCAGATATTACTAGGCAAGTTGGGGCTGTGGGCAGAACATTCCAGCAAAAGCAATGTTTTATGAAACTAATTATCTAGGGAACTTGTGGAAGGGTTTGCTATAGCAGTGTTACACTTAGATGTGAATTTTTTAGTAGCTGTGGAGGTCTCAGAGGATTTATTTTTGAGATGATATGGCTGCAAAAGTAGGAGTTAGCAGTTTAGGGTGTGCAAAAGGAAAAACAGAGCCTGAGATAGTGTTGTTGCTGCAAAATTAAAACAAATCTTTGCCAGTGCTTCCAACCATATCGTAGAATTAGGCTGGAGATTTGGTGACGGGAAAGATTGGGAATTTGGCTTTAATTGTATTGCAATTTTGCTAATTCTTCTACTACATAACATTCTACAGATTAACCTAATTCAGATCTTCATTACCCCTAATTACAATTTTATTTTTTAAACAAAATTTACATTTTATTTAGATTGAACTAAAACTATGCAAAATTGATTTTCTTCACCGAAAATGACAGCAATATTTTCCACATTATTTTTAGATAAACTACAAAACACTTATTTTTGTATGTTTTCCAGGTTTTGTTTATAAATCAAGCTGAGGTAGTAGATACAGTAATGGAAAAAGACAGAAAAAACAGACACATCAACTGTCAGCATCCAAGGCCTCTGATTCTGTCTTAACCATGAAGCAGAAGTAAAAACTAGATAATTTTTGTTTTGTCTTAACTTTATGTGTTACGTCCTATTGTCAGCAGTTAACTGAATCTTCTTCAAATATCATTTTCCAGTTTCATCCACATATCCCATCTCTGACTTCAGTTAATTCATTCATTGAGCTTGTGTTTTCAACATTAATTGCTTATTGCTTTATGCCAGCATAATCACTTGGAAATAAAGAAACACAACATCTTGTATCAGCACATTTCTGTAATGGAAGTTAGCTTACATATGAGTGGTAAATAGAAGAATGATATCAGAATAATGCAAAAGTAATGTTGGTTTCTGTGTTTCCCATATGTTCACATTTTGTGCCACTAAGTAATAGGATTGAACACTTTACAATGGCTTTTCATGTCTTTTGCCCATTTTCTCATTGAATTTTTTTAACCATTGGGTTTTGAGAGTCCTTTATATATTCCAGATTCTAGCACTTTTGTCATATATGTGGTTTGCAAATATTTTATCCCTTTCTATACTTTGTCTTTTCATCCTCTCAACAGTCTTTTGCAAAGCAAACATTTTTAATTTTAATGAAGTCTAATTAATCATTTTTTAAATGAATTGTGCATTTGGAGTCAAGTCTGAGAACTCTTTTCCTAACCCTAGATTCCACAGATTTTCTATTTTTTAAACAAAAGTTTTTTAGTTTTATATTTGACATTTAAGTCTGCAATCCATTTTGAGTTAATTTTTGTATAGGGTATGAGTTTATGTCAAGTATTAATTTTTTGTCCTTAGACGTCCAATTGCTCCAGCACCATTTGTTGAAAAGGTTAGCCTTCTTTCATTGACTTGTTTTTGCACCTTTGTCAAAAACCAGTTGGGTGTATTTGTGTGAGTCTACTGCTGGGCTCTCCAATCTGTTCCATTGATCTGTGTGTCTATTCCTCTGTGAATACCACACAGTCCTGATTACATACCTTGAAACTGGGGAGACTGATTCATCCCATTTTCTTCTTCTTTTTCAAAATTGTTTTAGCTCTTTTAGTTACTTTGCTTTTCCATATAATTTTAGAGTAATCTTGTCTACATCTAAAATAAAAACTTGCTGAGATTTTGATAGAAATTGTGTTAAACCTATTAACTTGAGGGGAATTGACCTCTTTACTATATTGCGTCTTCCAATCTATGAACACAGTACGTCTCTCCATTTATTTAGATTTTCTTTGATTTCTTTTATTAGCATTTTGTAATTTCCAACATACATGTGCTTTACACATTTTGTCATATTTACACCAAAGTATTCCAGGTTTTGAGCAATTGTAAATGATATTGTATTTTCAATTTCTATGTTTCTAGACTTTTCCTTTCTTGGTTCTTTGGCTAAAAGGCGTTTTGGGGGGGCTTTTTTGTCTGTACCCGTGAATGTTTCTAGGATTGCTGGCTTCTTCAGTTTGACATATATGAAGTAAAAAGAAAACCTGGGGAGTTTATCACTTGTCATTCCTTGGGTCTCAGTGTCCTTAGCTAGCTCCATAATTCCCGTTTCATTTTTGTGCATAATTTTTGCAAACTTCAGTGTTTTCAGCCGTGTCTATGTTGCATTATGGCAGAAATATCCATATAGTAAACCTGAAACCTGCCCTTCAAGAACTTACGGTTTGGAAGACTTTACATTCCTCCCACATCTAACCTAATAGGACATGGTATATTAGCTGAAACAAAGGCAAGTTTCTTGGTTGCTAACTGTCATTGTCCTTAAAGCTTCACTATTTGTTTTGCATTCTGGTGAACTTTTTTTCTTTTTGTTTTTTTTTTTTTTTAGATGGAGTCTCGCTCTGTCGCCCAGGCTGGAGTGCAGTGGCGCAATCTCAGCT